GCAATGGCGCCAAAATTTGATCACGCTCAACTATGCCTTATAAAAAGGACTAAGCGGTCGTTGCAAATATAATCTGGTTTATAAGTCCGGAGTCGAATCCCACAGAGAACTAAGGCTTAGCTACAGTTGTTCAATATTGCAAAGAAACACAAGTTCGAATAATTTTTTAGTTATAAATATTTAATTTTTATTTCTACTAATTAACTAGCAAATATTATAAAGCAGTAAAATTATCAACTAACATGGATAAAATTCTATACAAGACTAAGGAGGTCTAGAGTTGTGATTTCTCCTATTGTCGGAATCTTTTCCGTTACGTTTTCTACAAATTTTCCTAAGTCTTCTCTATCGACCATGAGCACTCTAACTGTCGTAACTCTCTCCTGAGTAATTACCACAATTTACTAGACATATTCTCCCGAATTACGCTAGCTAGCATTAAGCACAGCTCGCTCAGGTCGCACCAAGGTTTCATTATCCCTAATCCCACCTTTAAACCTCTGTATTGATCCCTCATATACGTTTAGGAGTGATGTTGTTCAACAACTACCTAAATATGCACTCTCTCCCGAGTAATACATACTAAATAGGCACAGCTAATTGAGGGCCCTTCAATCAACCACAAGAATAATATAGTTGAACAAATAGAGAAAATACTACGGCAAATCTATATTAACGTAACAAGAAAATCATCCTTCAATAGGTTTCATCAAAACCCTAGATTAGAAAGTTAGCTACTCATACTCATAGTAACAATATCCCAAATATTTTGCATAATTAAAATACAGAGTAAAGATGAAAAGATGTAGAAATAGATGATTCTAACTCCCAAGAGGTGATTCTACCGGCTCTCCTTGCCTCTAGCTGCCCAAAAACGTGGTTGCTGATAGAACCCCCTTTCAAGTGGTATTTTAGGTCTATTTATATGTGTAGAAGAAACCTTAAACATGTGGGTCGGGTCCTAGTCAAACCTGAAACGAATTAAGTCTTCAAAACTCGGATTGGACCTGGCGTTAGGCCTGGCGTCGCTAGCCTAACACCTGGAATTTGGCTGGTCTCGCCAGGCTAAAGCCTGGTCCAGCCTGGCCTTAGGCTGGCCTCGCCAGGCTAAAGCCTGGTCTCTCCTTTTCACTGTTCTCGAGCACACTTTCAACGTTTAAGTATCCCTTTTGCTCTACTTTCATCTCCAATTTACCTACACATAAAATAGACTTCATTATGCACAAATAATATGTAATTTATCATTAAAGTATGTAAAATACAAGGCACATAATGTACGAAACTATGGAATTATAGTCACACATCAGTATTCAACTACAGTTCTTGTCTTCTCCTAAATAATAAATTATCAGCTTTTTATGCTTGTAGAATCAAATTGAGAGAGTATCCGCGGAATTGAGAGAACTTGGAGGATTTAGCACTTAATAGCATTATTTAATCCTAATAATTATCTTAAGTGTGGATGATTAGACTATCGATCAATCTTAGAAATCCAAGGGATCTAACCTAATAGAGGGACCGACCCAAAGCTGTAATATAATAATGAAATTTTATTTTGACTTTACTCTCAGATTAAATATACCTTTTTTCTCTTTCTTTTGGAAAGACACTTATGTGTGTGTATTAAGTTACAGTACAAATTAAAATGGACTCTTCTTACTGAACGTAATTCTTGAAGAGTCCACAACAAAGGAGTTAATTAATATCCATTTTATTAGGGCATCAGCCATTTCTCTGTAATTCTAAACGTAACTAATTGATAATTGTCTAATTTATTAGCCAGTAATCACATTTGAATCGATTGTGATCTAAATCTACTTTATGTATATGAAGAACAATTACAGAGGAACTAAAAACAGGGAATGCACGTATGGCTTATACCCATTAACATATTTATTCTTGAGGGGGGCTAGAAATGAATATGTGAATAGTGAGGGAAAAGTGGAAAGAGATAATAGAGTAGCTTTTAGTGGGGTTTAAATTCTGCACCTGTGTAATGTGATGGAAGGATTTTGATGGCATTATACGATTAAAAAAAAACAAGAACCAAGGAGAAACATAAAATAGTAGTATGTAACTTTGCAAAGTATAATACTTTAAAATGTGAATGCTAAGTGAAGAATATGCCACAGGGAGATTGAAGTTTTATGGTATCAAATACCCAAGATGCTTCTTTAGTTTAGTTGAACCTTACACACCTTTACTTCCTTCCTATTCTCATTCTTTTGCTTGATTAATGAACCTAGACACGTACATATACCAATTTAATTCCACGAATATGAACACTGTCTCAAACCTTGCTTCAAGAAAAGAACGACAGAAAATAAATGAAAGTTGGGACTTGGGAATAATAAATCCCTCGGCTCATGTCACTCTTGGATTGGAAACAACTCTACCACTACTCAAAAGTTTTATGAAGAAGAAGTAAATTATTCCGTCCATTTCAAAAAATTTATTATCACTAAAGGCTGTGTTGTGGGTGGTAAATAATTCATCCTTAATTAAAGATCTCGAATTAAGATCATATGTATAAAATCATCTTCGGTAGTAGCATGTTACCTTATAGTAGACTAGAATCTCGTATTTTAGCCGTAGTATTGCACTTAAATTACTATATTTTACTTGTGTTTGAACTTGAATGTTAGTGTATTGCACTTATTGTGTGTTTTATGCCTTGTAGGAATTGATTTCAAGTTAAAATGATATTCGGAAGCTAAATCGAACAAGTTGGAACTTTGAAGTTTGAGTAAAAGTCCAAAGAATTAAGTCGGGATCATGTTCGGGGGTCGAGGACCAAGTTTGGATACCAAAAGTGAGAAAACAAAAATTACTCTAAGAAAATTACACTACCGCGTCGTGGGCCTCATAGCGCTAGTGCAATTTTCCTGCAAAGTGAAAAAAAATGAATACTCTGTAAAATTTGCACAGCCGCGCCACATGGGGCGCTGCGAGACACAGTGCGGGCAGTGCAAAATATGGCCAGAAATGATTTTGCAACACATTCTGGAATTTCCCACAAGCGCGGCGCGCTAGCACAAAAATGTTAGAGTGACTTTCCATTTCCGTTAAAACGGGTGGTTTCGTCTGGGGTTTATTTTGGAAGCGGCTTAAATACACCAAAACACCATTTTAGATGGGACTTTTGATACAATTTCGATCTAAGGGGGCCATGGAGGCTAAGGAGGAGTTGGAAGAAAATAAGTACAAGGATTTCATCATTTCTTCCTCACTCAAGATCCGGGTTTGGATTGAATTTATATTTTCCTATACATTAGTTACATTTGTGAAGAACTTCTCCATATCCATGGAGTAGATCCTTTTGGGTTTTGATGGATTTGGTGTATTGATGATTGTTTGTGGATTATAACTTTATTTTTATGTATTTGAATCATTTTAAGAAGATTTAATTGTTGAATCTATATTCACTTGTTCTTGTAAACGAAAGAGTCATAACTTGTGATATCTTTGCATTATATTATTGGTTGAGTTCATAGATTCTTATAAGTAATCGAAAGAGGTTAGTTGAATCCTTGATTAAACCTAATCATGAGGATAATCGAGAGAGGTTCTCCTAAAGACCAATCCATTACGCATTCTTGCATATCTTCACAGAGCTTAAATTGGTTCATATTGAGAGGTTGAGACTTAATCGAGAGAGAAGTTCCCACTAAACAATTGTACTGAAAATTAAGTGAATTCGAGAGACTCACTTGAACATTAGAAGTAAATTATCTAGAGTTAAATCACATACAATTATCTTGCATCTATCCTATCAAAATCCCATTTTCTCCCATTGATATCTTCCTTTGCTTAGTCCTTGCTTCGATTGTTATTAGTCAATTAGCTCTAGATTCTTAATTAATTTTAGTATTAACCACATAAATTTAAATTGTTGATCATCTTGGATAGCAATTTAGCTACAAACTACGATAATATTGTTTAAATTCAATCTATGTGGATACGATATTATATTATACTATATTCAACTAGCGAACACAATTTAAGTGTGTGTTTCGCACTCGTCATTATCTCCAAAATAGAACTTTCAAATGCAAATTCAAATTAGTCAGGCCCCAAAATGGATAACGGATACTGAATTGGAAAAAAAAAAGTTCTTTGCTCCTTTTAGCTTTTTTAAGAATCAATTGTGTATCAAACTTTTAATCAACATTTTTTGGAGCAATTGTTTGTTATTTAAAAATGGAAAATTTCCACCGTAGAGTAAATCGTACCTTTCGGCACTTCTTTCGAAATCTGTACATAATGTGTACTCAACTTTCTAGAAGAAACATATACAAATAAGACCTCTCTTAACTGGCTAATTTTGGATGGTAAAAGAATCATGTCTTTTTTGGGCTCACAACCCGTTTTCATCTAACATGAAATTGTTAACATACTAATTATCTTTGCATACATACATACTAAGATACTATGAGTGTATACGCAATAATAATGTTGTATGAAAAATGGGCTTATATTATTAAATATTTTATTTATATTTAAATATTTGGGTTTGATCATAGTCCATTCTCCCTAACCTCTACATCCGACTACTAATTCATCTTCATTAGGTATGTCTACGTGCACCCACATTAATATATGTTTATAAAAATATAGACTCTTTTTGTCACAATTTATATAACACTATTTCTATTTGAGATACCATTCTATTTTATGAACTATATACTTAAAATTTAATTTAAGAATCTAAACTCATTAAATTTTTATTTTAACATTAACTTTTGAAGGAATATATTTTCTCCATCTTACAAATAAATTTGCCTCGATTAAGGAAGAGATTTTTACCTATGTACTACGTTAGAATTAAGGAACATGCAATTATTGGGCCGATGCTAACAAGTGTGTCGGACTACAGGCCTCTATGATGGGTTGTGGCATGCTATCTTGTCCCTCAACTCGTGATCAACATGATTGATTATAGGACATAAATCAGTGGTACTTTCAATGCTAACAGCAATAAAATATTAATTAATTAAGAGTAATTAAGAATACTTTGTTTAATAACTAATTAAAGACAGCTTGTATATACAATCAAAGAAGCAAAGTCGGCCTGCAAATGTTTTATTTTTTTGTATTTTTTTCTCTTTCCAATATTTTTTCATTTACTAATTCCACATAGAAGACAAATAGAGAATCAACAAGATTGGCTACCGGAGGTGCTCCTCCTCCTCTTGGCCGCCGGAAAAAGATGCCATTCCTCAGCCACCACTCCATCAAAGTCAAGCTGGTGAATATTCCCATGATTAGTAACATCAAAGAAGCAACCATCTGATAATCCGGCCGCCATGTCGCCGTCGCTGCCGCCACAAGGCGGTTTGGCCTTGCGACGGCCGGCTCCTACGGGCACGTTCCGTAGGGCCCCACCGGCCGTCCAGTACCTTTGACAACCTTTGCAAAAGTGTCTTGGCTGGTTAACATTGTAGTTGTTGAAGTAACAAAACTTGGTTTCCATGCTTTTGCATCTAGGGCAAGGGATGATCTTTTCTGGCTTTTTTTCTTGATCTTCATCAGTATCATGATCATCACCTTTTGCAGCTTGTTTTGCTTGAACTTGTATTGTTGCACCAAACAACTTGATGCCTTGTGAGATGCGACTTTCTTGAACTTGAGCCATATTTTCTTGGTTTTGGGGGCTGGGGAGGCAAGTGAATGTCTATGTTTGATGTAGAGGAACTTAATTAGGAGTTGATATATATAGCTAGAGATGTGTGTGTGTGTATATATATATATATATATATATATATATATATATGCACTTAAAAAGGAAAAGGCAAAAAAGTGCAGAGTGAGGTTTAGAGGTTGGGGTTGGATGGTGGGTTAGATAGGGGAGGAAAAAAGTTCATAGATATGATGGGGGAGAAAGAGATCTAATTGAAGAGTATAAAAGTATAGAATAAAAAGGGCATGAGAGAGAGAAAAAGGGTAAGTCAAGAAAGAAAAAGTTCATGGGTGATGAGCACAACTTCTTTTTAAGAACTTTTGGATGCTCTAATTTATATATTACTCAAGTGTTATTCCTCTGGTTCTTCTAAATTTACTGAGTTAGCAACATTTACAACGAAAATTTAGTATACAGTTTATATATTTTCTCTGTTCCAATGGTTCATATAGTTTGACTCTGCATGAGCTTTAAGATTAAAATAAAAAAAATTGTAGTCTTAAATATGTATTAAGTAACACTTTTGTAATCATAAAACTTTTTAAATTTATTGTAAGAATTATGTTATTATATTTGAGTCCCTATAAACTTTTTCATTAAAGGCACACTAGAAAGTTTAAAATTAATTATTTTTAAATTATAAAAATATTTTCTTAACGGACTAATAAATAAAAAATACCAAACAAATTGGAATGAACTAATAACAAAAATGTAAACGTAATGTTCAAGATAAATGTTAAATTTGTTTTTTAAACAGATTCACCATTAGACTGATTAAAAGGAAAGTATGGAAAAAATTTATAGGCCAATTTTTATTAAGATTCCCCAAGCTTTTTATGTTATTTTTAGCCAATGACTTTATGAAACTCTATATCTCCAAAAAGTCACTGTTTGTAACGCTGCTACTGATACTTAGCATTTATAACAAACATCTTCCTTTAGACTCAGAAAAAAAGAAAAAGTAAAATCATTGGTTTTCAAGTATATTAATATGTTAGATACCATATATGTGTGATAGACACAATTAGGTGAGCAAAAAGTGANTTGATGCTGAACTTTTTGTCCACATCATTACTCCACGTCATCTGGTTATGTTGAAAGTCTCTACATATAGTGGGACCCAACACCAGGTAGGTTGATTATATTTTTCAACAAAATGGGAGTGTAAAGATAAGGGATGAATTAAAAGAGAGAAAGCTGGAAAAAGGAAGGTCTTTTCTAAGTTTAGTTTAATATCAAATCTGGATTAGCTTTTTCCTAAAGTATTTTCTTTTTCTTTAATCAAGATTGAGATTGTGCTGACACATCATGTTCATGTGGTTTTAATCCTTAAGGGTGAAGCTCCAACATTTTCTTTTCCTTCTTCTTGTTCCTCTTCTTCTCTCCCGATATTAATTATTTTAACAACAATAACATGACGAAAAATTCAGTTGTTTATATCATTAAATGATTTAAAATTAATATAACAATAAACATCAATTAAAAATATATTTAATGATTAATGTGATATAATTAAAAAAATTAAAATAACAAATATCATACTAAATCTAAAACTAGAAGTTAGTATATTCTATACAATTATGGTAAGATGGTCTACTTCTATATATTTCCTACCTATCTTGATCATTCTGGTTAAAACTAATTATATAAAGACTTGTCTTGTGAATTCCTATAATATTCATATGCGAGTAACAGTTGTTTCTCCAAAATTAATACTACACTCTAAATCTTAGTTAAATGACATTTTTCTCTTCTTTAGCTCATGGAAATAAATTATTTGACGGTATAGAAATGATTATATATATTGCAGGGTACGTATCTTATTCTTAACAATGATGATGCTCACATTAAGGAAAATAAGAACTTCCATATATAATCGAACAACTTATACCCTATTAACTTGAGTACCAGATCAAAAGAGAGAGAGTCCTTTTACACGAGAGCAAGCCACCCCAAAAAAAAAAAAGGTTACATAAAATACCACCTGAACTTGTATCTCAAATCACCATTATACACATTTTATCATCGGATTATTTTTATATACTCAAACCTTTAAGATAGGTGTAAATGACACACTATTTTTATGATGTGGTATGCGCGTGCTTTTCACACAAAATAGGTTTAGTGAATTTTAAATTTTGATATGCCACGTGTCCCATTTTATATATATTTTTTTTTTTTAATCATCATCTTCTTTGTCAAGCAAAGCAAATAACTCTCCAGCAACAATGAAGAAACGAGAATCCGTTTCTTTTTTCTCCAAAATCCCACCAGAAAATATTCCATCCCCTCCCTTTTCTTCTATATTTCCTTCCATGTTTTCTTCTCAAAAATCCCTCTTAAAAAATCTGAAAAAATCAGAGATCTTGGCCCCAAAATGTATCAGACCTTCACCATCTTTTTGTTGTTTATTCTGACTACTTGAGGCAATGGGTTGGTTCCTTTAACTTTGTTCTAGTATTAATATGATGATGGTGAAGTAGGGACTGCGAACGAAAATGTAGATTTAAATGGAGGAAGTGGATGTGGATTCAAGAATAGGTAATGAAGAATGGTTGTTGGTGGGGGGATTTTGTGCTTAGTAGTATAGTTGACGGCGAAAGGTGCCAATTTGGTAATATTTTCTTCAAAAGAGTATGGTGGTGCCGAGCGACGACTATGGAAGATGGGTGGCAGAGCATTGGCTGAGTAAGCATTTCATGGTAGTGGAGAGTTAATTGGGTGGTGAGAGAGGAATTTTCTTCCTGTTTTGATGCACATGGAAAATGAAGCATGTAAAGCATATCTTTGTCAAATAGTGAGGGGGATTTTCGGTGATGGGGGTTCACAGCCGGGCGACGGTCGAGTCGGTGCTTGGGAAGAAGAAAAACAGGAGTATTTTCAATTGTTTTTTTTGTTTTTCTTAAGTTAATACACGTGTCGTCATCTCATTGGTGTGTGATATACAAATACAAATTAGTGTGTCATAAATATACATTTTAAAGGTTTGGTGTGTGATCAAAATATCTCATTAATCAACAAGTGTGTGAGAGGGATTTGGGTACAAATTCAGGTTTAAAAAAAAGAAAAAAAGAGGAAAATTGAAAGAAGAAAAGGTCTTTCTCCCTAAACTAACGGAAAAATCACGACTTGAATAAGGAGAACAAAGAAAAACCATAAAAATAGATAAGTGATAAGATATTAAAGGGGATGAATTTGATACTTTAAAGCTGGATGCTTGTTATGGTAAATGCTATTCCTTTTGGCTTACTTTAATCAAAGTCTTTGCTTTTCAAGCATCTAATATTTTTATTTCCTTTTTAATGAACTTTGTTGTGCCATCTTTTTCAAAATCAATCAGAATTTTTGCAATGTGTTGTTGTCTGGGTAGCTTTCAGTTCATAAATTACTAATCAAATGAAAAAGTAGAGTACTTTTTTAAAATTTTCAAGATTATGGTGTTAGCTTTAATAAAGTTACCTTTTCCTTTTCTTTGATCAAAACTGTTTACTATTACAAAAGTAAGGGCTTCTTCATTTCCAACACAAAACTTTTCTTTTATTCAAAATAAAAATGTAGACAAACAAGCATTCTCGTCTTTTACATGGAAAAGATATATGCACTTTTGCTTTATGGGTTGCTTTTAGGGTGTGATTAAAAATATTCAAAAAGGTCGTTGGATAGAATATTCAATCTTATGGTTGTAATTAGTTCTTCACATTTCCTATCCCACCTAGCTGCCCTTACAGTTACTAGTATAAATTACTAGTATAAATAGCAATATATATGCCCTTGTACATGTAGTCATGGATGCTATTTAAAGGAATTTGTTGGTTGCATGCTTTGCCAGAGATCATTTTATCCCTACTGAACTGTATAAATAATCTATTCTAAAAAAGCATAAATTATTAGAGGATACAATTTTATTTATTTAAGTTAGGCATGGGACAATACAAAAGAAATATTTAGCAGATAGTGTAAAAATTCTTTTCTATCATCAAGTGTATAGATTTCTAAAATATTTACTCTGAAGTTTGTGATACCGTAAATGAACAAATATGCTCGGATTTCACCATTAAAAAAAAAAAAAAAAAATATCGTCACATACCACTAAATTTAATCATGCCATTTAAGGGTTTGGTGATTTCAAAACAAATAATTCTACTTGGGAAAGTACCTAAAGAAATTTTATAAACTTCAACCCGATGTATAACAACTATATCATATTTAAGAAGACATTTTTATTTATATTTGTTGTGCCCAAATGTCACCACAAACAAAAGTTGGGGTACTAAATATCACCACCTAACACTACATATTAGTTTGAATAAAGGTAAGGAAAAAAAAACTAAACTAATAAAAAGCATATTAGGGGTGTGTTGGAAAGGCTAAATTTCATGTTGTTGCTATTGTGGATGATAACCAAGTTGCTTAAATTAATCAAGGGAAAGAAATAAGTCTTTACTTTCCATTTCTTTCTTTTGTTTATTTATTCGTATCTTCTTCTGTAATTAATATTATTTTCCTCCAATCAAGGCCAAGTTGAAACTTCGGAATGCATCATCCCAATTAAAAAATAGTTAACGTTATAACTGTTGATATTGTAGAAGATAAGAGTAATCTGTTCTTGATACATGCATCTTATTCAGAAGATATTGCTTTGTTTTTTTGTCCTAATTAATTAGTGTTGTCGAATTTATCACGACGTTACGTAAGACACGTGCCTTTTTAGGAAAGAAACAGATAAGGTTTAATTGGGTCCTTTAATGCCACAAAAACTTCTTGCCCTATTGCTTGGTCTCATACTTGTTCCAAAAACTATTTGCTCTGGTATTTTAAATGATTCGTAGATAATGTGCTATTTTTTTATTTTTTTTTGGGGATTCATCCAATATTTCGATCTTCTGATCTCTTATACCTGCTAAGTGGAAATTCAAACTTAGTCCCCTCCTTCAAAGAAAATGATAAATGTGATAGTTTTGATAACATGAAATACCTTTGTTCTTTTTCTGCCATATTAACTACAAAATTCAAAGATCAGGAAAGTTACACAACATCACAGAAACACCAGCGTGAAAAGAGGGACAAATTTCACGTTAGAATATAATTTAGTTGCCTGTCCTTCAAGGCAAAAGGTATTGCATTTTGTTTAATTTGTGTTGTAAAAGATTCAAAGAAAACGAAAGTAGCAGAAAACAAGGAACACCCTAATAGAAACAAGAAAGTCAGTCGAAGGTGTACGTAGTTCTTAAGCAAGCTCAGTTCATTTCTGGGTAAGTCATGCCAAAAAGTCAATTCTCAAGCAAAAGTTTTCCACCTAGTAATATCAGCTATCCGATTAATGATTATGAGCAGCCCTCAAGCAAAAGTTTTAAGGTTGTATTTGTCCAAAAACTCATCCCGCTACTTTTATTTTAAAAAATGATTTTTAAGCATCTGACATTCAAAACCTACTTGTCCAATTAATTTAGAATCGCACTAGGTAGGAGTGCTTCTTATTACAAAAGTTGTCCATTTTCATGTCTTCAACCCGACACTTCTGGCTATGGCTAAGGATGTACCCATTAACGGTCGTCAAGCTACTTGGGTTGTCTATAGGTGGTTGCCTGGTTGGCTATCCTGTTTTAGTAGAGCAACTATAACATAAGTTGGGTTGCCACTTGCAGATCTGCTAATATTTCTAGCGCAAGTTGCCACGGTTCTCGGTGTTTGACCCTAATTTTCAGTGTAAATCAGCAGAGCGGAAGTCAGTCAAACACAATCAGCTAAAACTATATAAACAAATACTAGTACACCTTTTCCCATGATTCCAGCATAGAAGCAAACGACACAGTCAGAATCTTTTTTAGTCTTGGACAACAGGTTAAAGCTACAGATAAAGAAGATAGAATAATACTGAGGTGAAGTGATGAATTTATTACCATGACTATTTCAGTTTGAGAAATTTCAAGATATTTGTTCTACTATTAAAAGTAATATATAATTCCACAGCTTTCAAGAATTCAAATTCGTATAAGTACTACTAAAATCTTATATTTCGAAGCTATGTTTCTTAGCAAGTTAACCTTTCACTCATTAGTTTAATAATTTTTTTGCAGTACAACTAATAATATACAAGTACAAAATAACATTTTTGAACACCGTGATTAATCAAATGTCATCATGTAAAATAGACCAAATGGAGTAAAATGAATTTATTTATCAGTAAAACAAACACGCTAGCATCTTCATGAAAGCTGTAGATGAAAATCATGTGACATCACACAGATGTCACCGTCGATCTTCACACAAGCTGTTATCATATCTCATCGCATTACGAGAGTCTCTATGATTTGCTAAGGAGTCAAATAGCACATATACTAAATTTAGCTATGCTTACAGCTGCAGTCGAAGCTGTGAAAGAATACTAGATAAAATGTTGAAAAAGGCTTATGCATAAATGATGCCTCGGTAATCAAGAAAATGTTGCTGGATCATACTAGAGCACAATGTTTACAGAAACAGGTTGAAAGCTACCTAAGGGAAAAAGCTAATCGAGATACAACAACAGGACCTAAGAATAATTACAGAAAATAACTAGTTATTTACATATTTATAACACCCTCTCACCTAACTCCAGAAGCAAAATTATACATGGTTGGGTTTGATAGACTAATGTCAACATGGTTGGATAAGAATTCAAGTGTCACTCCAGTTATCTTCTCCATCATCACTTCCAACTGCCTGAATATGTGTCAAAGAAAGGAACAAGTGATCAGTCAACAGTTTAGCAAAATATATTGGTAAAGAGGAACCATCTCAATCCACTATTTCTGTGTTCATCATTCTCGGGGTGACCAAGAGGGTGGGCATTTTTTTTGGGGGGGAGGGGGGTTTATTAGGGAGAGAAGGATGCAGGATAAGATGTTGATACCTGACGGATTGCATTGGCCCTCTCCAAAATTGCAGTGACCTTGACGCTTGCTGGAGGCCCTGAAGTTCCCGCTTGTTTTGCTGGAGCAGTTCGTCTGAGATTGAATGACTGAATCATACAATAAAAGAGAAAGTAGGTAAAGTGAATTCCTCAAATGGCATGAAATTGGACTAAATAGCTCATTTTGGTAAATAGTAGACACTTCATCCTCAAGTTAAGATCATAATTTCACAATGACTTCAACCCCACTCACAATTCAAAGAAGAGTGAAACATTACAACAAAAGCAATGGAGAAATTATCTACAGAAAGCGGTTTGGTAACGATCAAATTGAGAAAGCAAATTAATAAAGTAGTTCAAGGACAGAAGCTAGCAAACCCGTCAAGAGCAGGCTACAACTAGCTTACTATCCAATATCCAAGTGGAAAAAAGTTTTTTGCCGATTTTCAAAATCAGAGATAAATTCTTGAAGTATTCAGGTAATTTACACGGGCTCAAGGAAAATTAAAAGATAAAATAGTAAGTAAATCCAAAAAACTAAATCAAATATCAAAACCAGTTGCGGGCACATATTCGATCACCAATGGGACAATAATGACCACTCACTTTTGCTCTAATCTGGTGCAGGAAGTCTTCCTTTTCATTGATTCCTCTGCTATTTTTAGCATGATCAACGAGTTTCCGCCCAGTTGTGTCTATCGAGTCTGGCTGCTGCATATGTAAATGCATAATTGTCACCTCCTACTTTTGATATGAAAGTGGAAAAGAGAGCCTTCTAGATAAAATTTCAATTCCTTTTTTTCTTTTTTCTTTTCTTTTTGAAGTTTCATAGTGGGATCAGGAAGAATACCTTGCTTTTCAATGTAAATGCAGCTTCAATAACTTGGTGTTGCTTAAATGGAGGAGGCTTAGGTTGATGTGAAATAGTAGATCCCAGCTCCTTGTGATCAAACACATGATGGTTTTCAGAGGAATTCTCTAGATAATCTTGTTCGTCATCTAAATGTGATTGTGTACTCTGCCACTGTATTGGAGGGAGAGGAGGAGGAGGCAACGTAGACTGCTTAGCAGACAATGGCTCTAGATCTCTTGCAGTCAGAGCATTACCAGCTCCATGCTTGAATGAGGAATGCTGGGTATCCAGAACTGGAAGATCAAATAAATTATCAGACTGACAATCCTCCAGAGAGTATTCTGCAAAAGGAATATGACGTCCACTGCAGGGGCGCAACTCCTGCTGAGATGTCCGGCCATTCTCCAAAGATGTTGAAGTTGATTCAGTTAACGATATTCTTTGCAAAGCATCGTATACTTCTTGGTCCTTTAAACTAGGAGAGTTACCAGATTCCCACTGTTCAGAGTTTGACTCTGACTGATGGCTAAGATAATCATCTGACAGATCGGGAGATGATCTGGAAAATGTGTCATCATCCGAGTCTGAACCAGCTTCTTGCAGAGGAATCGAAGGCTCCGGTACCAGCTGAAATGAAGGAAAGATATCTCCATTGTTTTCGTGGATGTTATTCCTATCAGGAAATCTGAGTTTCAGTTTCGAAGCCTCAATGCCATCTATCGGTTGGAATGAGATCTTCATATGTCCAAGTGGGGGAGACGAAGAAGGTGATGTAAACGAGGTTCCACTTCCTGGGAAGTCTTTAATTCTACCGGAAAATGTTCTACCCACAAAATGTTGGTAATCATTCATTGGCTCATTAATTCCAGTGTTCAAGGAACTGACTGAATCAGTGTTATCATTCCAACCAAGTGAGAGTTTCCCGTGAAATCCATTAGTAAGCAGTCGATTACCTAGTTCAAGAATACGTGATGAATTCTTTCCATTCTCCTGACCAACTCCAATAGTTTGGGATTCCAGACTCACCGGACCCACTGTGCTAGATGTCAGTATACCAGATCCACTTAAACAACTCTGTAGGGGCTTATCAGTGCAATTTTGCTGGTATAAGTTACTTGACTCCTCAAGCTTGACATCTAAATCTTTGGTTGAAAATCTTGAAGATATGTTCTTAATAGAAATGCCAACTGCTTGAGCAGAATTTTGGCAATCAGCTTTATCTCTTGACCTATTCTGCACAATATCTTGTTTTCCTGCATGTTTCTGACTGACAGGAACAGGTTCTTGTCTTGATGTACCGACTACCTCATTTTGATTAGCTTCATAAACTTGACTAACAGTATTTATTACACCATCTGGCGGCTTTGAGGGCTCAAGCCCGAGCAAGCCACCATTTGTCCAGAATTTGACTGGAGGAGTGCCCAGAAGCTGGGGTGGGGGCTTTTCAGAGTCAGAAGGACCACACAGGATCTTGTTGGCCATTGGCAATCCTGAACCAGTTCCCCTAGGGCTAGAGGTGATATGATTACTAACAAGTGGTTCTACTTGTGATGCTTCCAGAATATTGGATCTTTCACTTGAAGGGACACCGAGAGAACTGTCTGGTTTAAAAGCAGTTCTAGCTATCTGAGGAGACGATAAAAACTCACCACACTCTGAAGAGATATTCTCTGGAATTTCCTCACATTTTACTTTGCCAGAGGAAGAGAAAGCTCCAGGGTCAGAGTCAGCAGACGCAAAGTTGATATTACCACCAAAACCACTGTTTTCAGGGGAATTTCTAGCTGCGACTTCAGGTGTATTAGTAGACAAATTCCGATCAGAAAGTTCTGCTCTAATTCCAAGGGTTCCATTCGGGGCTGATGCAGTCTTCAGACTAGATTCCAGCTCCACTGCTCGTTTTCTTTGACAATCTAAATCAGTTTCAGACTCTGACTCAATGGTGTTTAGTGCATCCATAAAATTGTCAGTTTCACTTTCAATGTCATCAAACTGGCTTTCATAAGAAGTTGACCTTGGTATAATTTCAACCTCAGGCTCAGAACTTTGTTGTTCAATGTTTTCAGTTACAGCAAAATCCAATACACGAGTATCTAGGAGTAGATTTTCTTGACCTGTTTCCAAACTCTCATCATTATCATACTTCAGAATTATAGGATCCAACGTTTCATTCTTAACACTGCTAGTTAAGAAAGACAAATTAGGAACAACTTCCTCTTGTCGAAAATTGTTACTCTCTTCATCAGATATGACCCAGAGCTTTTCATCAGGAGAAGCATCTTCTACTGAAGCATTTGGATTCATCTGCAATGGAGAGTAGAAGACTTCCTTAGACGCTACTTCTGCAGTTCTCATCTTACCACTGCAAGCAACAGACAATGAGTTACGCCCAATTTGTTCATCTGTTAAGCTATTCCCCATATCACTGTACTCATCATCACCTTTCCGATCAGGGGAAGCACAATCGAGCAAAGCATCATGCTGAATCTGGGATGGAGAAGAGAAGGATTCTCTAGACTCTTGTTTCTCACATCCTGTTTTATCATTCCAAGTAACAGAAGATGTGCAGTGGCCAGCTTGCTCTTCTGATACACTATTATCAATGTCATCATAAACAACTTCACTTCTTTCCTCAGGAAAAGCGTGATCAAGCATATTGTTAAGATGTAGCTGCGATGTCGAATCAAAGGATCCTTTAGGCTCTTGTGTGTCAGGTTGCATCTTCAAATTCCAAGCAACGGACGTTGAAACAAGGTCAGTTAGCTCGTGTGACAAATCTTTTCCATTATCATTGTAAGCATGATCACTCTTTTCTTCAAGAAAAGAACAATCAAAAGATTGGTTATGCTGCATTTTTAGTGGAGACGAGATAGTCTCAGATTTGCCATCTTCAGGTTGAATTGAGTATCTTGGCTGTGAAACAAATTCCCGCTGCCCCGACCCATGTCTCGAATCTAAGTCAGATTTCAGGGTGGTGTCATATGTGCAGAAACTATGAACCAGGGAAGGTCGCCTATCCAGATTTCTGGAAGAAAATGGCATTCTGTAATGTGCAAAGATCACAAAGTTATCTTTCAGCAAATTCCGATCTGTAAAAGCTATGAATATAAAATCCCTATAATATGTCAATTCTCTGAGGTCACCACTTTTTCTCCATCTTTCCTGTCCATAAGAGAAAACAAGTAATGCATACCTACTACCATAATTGGGCATAGATGCACTACGAGAGACTTCTCCATTCCTCCTCCATGATCGTTTCTTCTGTTCAATGTTGACACATATTTGTGACAGAAATTTATTAAAAGTATCATCAGAAATAAACAAGCTTGCTATAGCACAGATTTTTGTTTAAACATTCATGAACGCATGCTGGGAGGACACCAATGAATAATTAGAAGTAACAAAGCTTTCAGGACCAAAGTAACAACTAGTAAAACAAAAGATTACTGTCTAGACAAGGGAATAGAATAAAATCTTAGTGCAAATATGAGCTGGTCTTTTTCTATTTTTACTATGGAAGGGCGATGCTTAAGGAGCCTATCCCTTGCCTTTTTTGCTCAATCTGCATACATAACATTGCCTTTCATTGTTGTTCCTCGTTAATGAGTATGGCTATCGCAAAAATTATAAGATTAAGTGGAATTATAACAGACAGTACTAACACATGCCTTTTGGAACTCCTTATGTTAACCATGGAAAGTTAAATTCCATCAATTTCGAGCACGGTTATGCACAGGTGGAAAAGTGGGTGTTAGAGCCTTAGAAGGGCAGCTCTCCCCTCCGCTACCCCCTCCCAAATTTCTGCCAAATCGCTTAAAAACTACCCCATGAGCAATCTCAAAACAAGAAAAATAAAGGAAAAAAGGACATCCTTACATTCACATATTTTGGCAGTGGATTCCTAACATTTGGCATGGAACTTTATGATAAATGGTATCGTAACTTTATAGTACAATTATTTAGTTTTGGAACTTTGTTTGGTTTCTATTTATCCCTCCCTCCCTTCCGAGGATAGTAAGTAATTCATGAGATGTAGCTGTCCACACAAAGAAAGTTCACAAACCAAAAAGCTAAACAGATAACGCAGGAAAGTAAGATGACAAGATGAAAGAAGAGTATCTTTGTTCCAATAATTGAAGAGGAGCCTTGGCGCATAGCTAAAAGTTGTCACCATATGACCAAGAGGTAAGAGGTCTCAGGTTCAAGCCGTGAAAACAACCTCTTGCAGAAATGAAAGGTAAGGTTGCGTACAGTAGACCTAATGTGATCCGTCTCATCCCCAGACCCTGCGCATAGTGGGAGCTTCGTGCAGCGAACTGCCCTTTTTTTGTTCCAATGATTGTCAGATGTAAATTGTAAATTAGATGCGTTTTAGTATATTAAATGACAATGCTATGTCCAAAAAAGAATTTAATATGAAATACAACCTGAATTATATAGTTCCATTAAATTTGTACATAAAATATATTAGTGATATGGTTTCCAGTAATGTGGGATCGATGTTAGTTTCATTGAGTTAATTTTGTACAAGAGAGACTGGGCACCAGCTTGCCATCCAAAAATGTGCCCATACTGGAAGACATAAAAAACATTGATCCAAGCTTTCAAGTCTTTTCATTTGTCGTGTGATGATGTTTATTTTATTTGTTGAAGTTGAGCTTCTTTTCTTTTGTCTAGAAGACATGTATCCTATAGAGTTCCTTAAAAAAATATGTATCCTAAATAGTTGAGATGAACTAGCATGGTGCAGTATAAGAAGATGCATTTTTTCTTTTTTCTTTTGAAACGAGAGTTTCATTGAGATATTAATTAATATCTTAGTCTGTTGTTTTCTTTTTATCTGCTGAATTTGTGCAATAGTTCTCAATCAAAGTTTAGTATATTACACTTTGCTTCTTTTTTCAATAATTTTTATCAATTTTAAGACTTCTCTTGCCTATGTAAATAAAATACTACAGACTTATTTGACATAAGATGATCCTCTGTGTCAAATTTCCAGCTCTGTCCCTGCAATTATATGGTGCTAACAAATCCCATAAAGCAAACTTCCGCTCTACCTATATAAATGGGAGGAGAGGCCTTTACATAGTTTTCGATTTAAGATGTGTTTCTTCAACTTCTTAACATCCTTTTATGTAACATCCCGTGAATATATGAGATGATATTGCTCATAGAAACACCAAGTAAATCTCCCAAAGTTAAGCTGTGGCAGGTAATTTCGGAATTATTCATGACATACCTTAATCTTTCGACCCTTCTTTTCTTTTAGGACTTTTTCAATATATTCTTCATCAGACCCAACTGATGCTCTCTTAAAGAAGGTTGGATCTGAATACCTTTTCAAGCAAGATCCAGGTCCACCAGGGTCAAATCTGAAGAGACAAGTAAATTTTTCAAGAGTATAGCAGTGCAATCAGGAGATATAAATATAGCTATAAATTTGGGTTCACGTACTTGTCAAGCAAATGCAAGCGTGGCGGCCCACGACATTCCTCATATGAATCCATGATAAATCTTGGCAAGTCATTGTATATAAAATGATTTTGTTCAGTACGGATACGGGCATGCCAATTTGATCCTGCACACCAACTGCTTCCATAAAAAAAACTCGAAGAACAGGAAAAAGAAGCCATTTAAGAAGCAGAAACAGACATTCCAAATACACCAAAGTTGAAGTATTTCCTACAAGCAAAACTTTATTTGTGAAACTATTTGGAACATCATTTCTATCATAGGCAGGCATATCTGAGTTTGAGAAATTAAACCAATTACCCCCCATTCTCACTGTCACCTTCCCTTGGTTTAAAGAATTTGGTAATGGAGATCAAAAAGGCATACCAGCTGTATAAGCAAAGTGTAAATGACTCCGCTGTGCCAATACTGATTTCTCAAGTGGAGGAAGTGCAGCTTCAATTTTTTGCACACGAGCAACCAACCTGTTGCTTCTCGAGGATGTAACCATCACTTGCTCTTGTAAGCCATGAAACACTTCTGCCGCAAATCTACAAGTACAAAACTGCTCTTAACTACTAAGTATATCTTTAGCATTCAAAATTCACATTTCCAATCCTTCATTGAACATCAAACTGGGTATTTCATCCCACCAAATGAAGACCAAAGAATATTATAGAGCTATAGATAATAGAATGTACCCCCAATCTTCCTAAGGACCTTGTGTAGATCTTAAAGGATAGGGAAATGTTAATGCTCTCGAGATTTATTGGCTGTTCGAAATACCCAGTGCAACTTGCGCATCAATATCCACCTCAAACTCCAGTAACAGGATGACTATTACAGAGTGCTAAAGGTATTTGCAGTAAAAGATACTAGAACAGTAGAACCAAAACTCAGAAAACAACCCAAAGCAACAATAGGAATTCTGTCCAACAGAATTCAAATGCATAATTAAGCACAGGACTCATTCTTCTTCCTCAAAATGGAAATGAGTCATTAACCTCTGATAAGAAGGTAAGACCATCACATTGAACTCCTCTTCCTTAGTTTAATAAATGGAATAAATGTAGTATCCGGACAAGCTTGCGCACACCTCAACTATTTCCAAGTACTTGTATCCTCCCACCATTACATGTATCAGGTAATTTTACCCAACAAAGCTTAGGCCGATGGGAGTAAATCACCTTAGGTTTATTGCCTCTGCTAGGATTCGAACCTTGGCCTCTCAAGTCTCATGATCTTCATTCCAACTTCATCGACCACTAAGTCACATCCTTGGGTGCTCACATTAAACTACTTTTTTGCAATGCGAGCCCAGTGTTTACCGTTTCCTAGGTGAATTATAACTACTCTGTTAATCTGTATGAGCTGTCATGGTTCAAGACTTCCCGCTAAGTTTTTATTGGCCATACAGGGTATTCCCCAGCCTATGCAATACACAATGGTCGATAAACGTCATCACCATGTTGAAACCAACCATGTCTTCCAATTAGCTGAAGAAAAGCTTGTTTCTAGCACTTACCAGAACAAAACAAAAAAAGAAGGTTCTTCAATAAATGGAGTAAGTTTAAAGATGACATATCCCGCAAAAGGCAATACATTAATGTTGAATGCTAGAAGCTACAGTATTCTCCGCCAAACTCCACCGTAATTATACAAAATGGCTGCTGAAAGCCTTAGTCAAGTTGATAGCCGAATGTACGTGTGAAGAACCATCACTCAAGTGAAGACTACAGTTGTAGTGCTGTCACATTACATTTTCCAAATACAACTTTTTCCCCTTACGGCATTATTGGCTATAGATTAAGCTTCTTTTGCATGCACTTAACGGACGTCCCTTTCGTCCAAGACGTTTTCAATTCACAACTCTCTAGAGTCAACACAAGTAAACTTTGACCACAATTTTCCTTTGTAAATCTCTAATTACTATCTTCAAATGAAAAGTTTATCCTTTTCTCCTTTTACCCTAAAAATCAGTTGACTTGACCCAGGTAAATTTGAAGTAACCAAAATATTGAAAAGCAAGAAGTTACCTATTTTTTTCTAACTTATATCTTTTTTCTCCTAATTTGAATGACATTGTTCCCATTTTGAAATATCCAAAATTGTTTAACGTCACTTGTGTAACAATATAGTTTCAAAATCCAAATCCATTCAGCTAATGAATCTAAACTACACTAGCATTTTCTTCCACTACTTATACAAATCTACAAGTCAAATAAACATATTTGTGTCATCAGCAGTGGACAGAGGGACAACCTAATTTGCATGTAATAAGACTAAGAAAATGATTATGAAAAAAAAACAAAGAAAGATGAAGTCATAAAACTCTGCTAAACAAGAAAATTAATACGAGATTTAGCAAATTTCAGTACGCCTAATTTGAATCTCAGCAATACTTCCGTTTCACCAAAAAAAAAAAAAAAGGTCCGATTTTTTTCTCAGAAATTACTTCAATGTCACCACAGCATAACAAAATAGAACACAACAGAAAACCAAAGTGCAACCTTTTCCGGAAACTTCCACTAAAAATTAAACAATAAGAAAAAAAAATGAGCATTCTTCAGAGTTCGAGAGGGCATAAATGAGAAAAGGAAAGTAAAAAAACGTACTCAGCGAGATCGCCGAGCTGACGCAAGATCCCGACGAGTCCAGCGACAGCAACACCGTCAAGAACGACCTTGGGATCCTCTTTATCGGCGTCCCGGTACAATTCCGGCGTTCCCAATCCGTACACATTCCTTGCCGCAGTTCTCACTAACGGCATCGTTCCGTTTCACACTTCTCTCTACTTTCTCTCTCCACAGTCCACTCTGTCTCACACTAAAATAAAAGTATTCTGAAATTGAATGCGAGAGAGAAGTAAAACAATAAATATAGTAATAAATGAAGGAATGATGAGAGAGAAAGTAAGAGAGGAGTAGTTGAAGGAGTGGAGCAGCTTAACTACTTACTGCTCAGATAGATATAGTGATATATCTATATCTATATAGAGAGAGAGAGAGAGTTTGTACTTGATATATGTAGAGAGAGAAAGCGATGGGTGTGAAGGTCTGTAGTTTTCAGCGGAGAAAGAGAGAGTGAAAATGGTGAATTCGTCCAAAGAGAAACGACATTGCCAACTCTGCAAGCCATGCTTCCCCTGGTGGGTGTATCATTACAGGTTAAGGGAATCTGAAATGACTGTTTTACCCTTTATCTGTACTGAAATTTCAGTTTTCCCTCTTAAGTTCAAGTACCACTATTTTGACCTTTCCCCTTGTAGTTTGAGTTCCAACTGACAGGTTGGAGGGGTAATGAGACAAAATTATAATGAGCAATTTAAATTAGTCAATTAGAAAGAAAAAGGGAAATAAAAGCGTAATTTGTAGATTTACATAAAAATTAGGACTCAAGGAGAATAAATCAACATAACTTGAGCTTTCCTCGTTTTATCTTTCATGAGCGGTTACAAACTTACCATGTCTTTTTTATAAGGATTTATTTTACAAATTTTCACCTTATTAAAAGTGTTACTCATAAGGGTAAAAATTATTGATATCGAAATGCACTTTAAAAAAATCTACAAAAAGTTCTAAAAAGTTTCAAACAAAAAAGAGTGCCAACCACATAAGATACTATTGTTTGGTCGAGTAATATATATACCTACCTCAAAGTATCAAATGTTGTCAAAACTATAGGGATCGAAACAATTGTGAGAAGATATTAGTTTTGGATTAGAACCCGTTGAGAGAAAAGAAAGAGGACATCTTTCTGTGAAGGAATAATGAATCTCAATAGAACTATCCAGAAGTCCACTATGTTTATATACAAACGGGTTGTACCCGACTATGAAGTGACCCAACTAACTAAATTAAAACTATCAGCTATATTGTTACACACATGGACCATTTAATCCGAAAACTAAGATACAAATAAATACATCACAATGTCTTCTAAGTTGGGCCATCAGTGTGAAGCTTAAGAGTTAACTGGGCTGGGTCATTCTGAAGTCCAACACACCCTTGCAAGTTGGAGTGGGACACCACACCCAACTTGAGCAAGAGGGAATGATGAGCAATGCTGGTGAGAGGTTTAGTGAACACATCTGCAAATTGTGAGGAAGTAGGCACATGGTGTAAGGAAATCAACCCATCTGCAAGCTTGGTTCTGATAAAATGAAAATCCACCTCGATGTGTTTGGTTCGTTCATGGAAGACATGGTTCTTGGCGATATGTATAGCAGCTTAGTTGTCACAAAACACATGAACAACAGTAGGAACAACCAATCCAAAGTCTGAAAGAAGCCTGATCACCCAAGTTAACTCAGCTACAACTTTGTTGAGTGCTCTATACTCGGCTTCTGCTGAAGAAAGTGGTACAACAGTCTGCTTCTTAGCCTTCCAGCCAACTAAGCAACCACCCATCAGAATACAAAAGCCAGAAACAGATCTCTTTGTGTCGAGGCATGCAGCCCAATCACTATCACAGTATATAGATAAGGAGAGAGCATGATAGTTACTAAAGAAGACCCCAACTTCAGAAGTACCCTTCAGATATCTAAGAAGATGCAAACCAGCCTTCATATGAGATTCACAAGGCCTCTGAAGAAACTGACTGAGGTGTTGATCAGCAAAACTCAAATCAGGCCTTGTGTAGGTAAAAAAATCCAGCTTACCCACTAAGCTTTTGTAGGATTCAGGAGAAGGAAAAGAAACATCTATGTCAGCTTTAACCTTCATACTGAGGTCCAAAGGGCAGAAAATAGAAGATGTATCCTCACATCCATATTCTCTAAGAAGGTTCCGGATAAACTTCCTTTGGTGTATGAGCAGCCCCGAAGGGAAACAACTCACCTCAATGCCCAAAAAGTAATTGAGGGACCCAAAACTCTTAATTTTAAATTGATTTTCCAGAAATGTCTTTAAGACAGAAATTTCATCCAAATCATCCCCAATAAGGATAATATCATCCACATAAACAATAAGAAGAATAATAGAATTAGGAGATTTTCTAATGAACAAGGAGTAGTCATTCATAGAGTGGGAGTAACCTCTAGAGCACAAGGCCATGGACAACTTAGCATACCACTGTCTTGATGTTTGTCTTAACCCATACAAAGATTTCTAAAGATGACACACCAAGTTGGAAGATTGACCAAAAGAAGATATAGCAGATAACCTCGGAGGAAGTTTCATATAAACCTCCCCATCCAAGTTCCCATGCAAGAATGCATTATTGACATCAAGTTGGAAAAAAGGCTAGTTTTTCTTTACATCTACAACAACAAGGAATTTAAAATTTGAAAATTTAGTAACAGAAGAAAAGGTTTTATTAAAATCAACACCTTCATCCCTAACTACCAACCTAGCTTTATATCTCACAATAGTTCCATCAGCCTTATACTTGATCTTATATACCCAATTGCAACCTATAGGTTTCTTCCCAGCAGGGAGTTCAACAATAGTCCAAGTGTGATTGGCCTCGAGCACCTCAAATTCCTTTCTCAGGGCTTCTTGCCATGCTGGAATAGAAGCTACCCGATGGTAAGTATATGGTTCAAGTTCAGCAGCAACAAGTAAAGGTGGAGAACAAGAGGAACAAGAATTAGAGCCACATAAAGATGAAGAAAGGTCACAAACATAGTTCTGAAGGTGGGCTAGAGGATTATGAGGTCTAGTGGATCTTCTAATGGAAGGGGAAGAAAGACTAGGAACAGGCAAGGATGAACGAGGAGATAGAGAAGAAATGGAAGAAGGAGAAGGAGAAAATGTAGGTGCAACTTCATATGTAGGGGTAGGAGGTAGCGAGGAACTGTCAGGAAAAAGGCTGGAATAGAAGGAAGGGAAGAATGAACAAAGGTAGTAGAGGCAAAAGGAAATACAGATTCATGAAAAACAACATCCCTGAAGACTAAAGTAGTCTTAGTAATCAAATTGTAAATCTTATAACTTTTCTTAGCCAAAGGATAACCCAAAAATACACAAGGTTCAGCCCTAGGCTGGAACTTGTCCCTATGACATTTAGGAACTGTAGAAAAATATAGGCACCCAAAAGTTTTAATGTATAGATAGGAAGGAGATTTTCCAACTAACAGTTCAAATGGTGTTTTGTTTTGAAGCAACACAGAGGGGAACCTGTTTATAAGATATATGGCTGCAAGGACACAATCCCCTCAAAACTTGACATTTAATTTAGACTGAAAAAGTAAAGCGCTTGAAGTTTCTAACAAGTGTATGTATTTTTTTTCTACCACACCATTTTATTGTGGTGTGTGAGGACAAGAGGTTTGACGAATAATACCATTGTCAACAAAGAATTGACTGGCAGAAGTGCTAGAACCAAGTTTAAGTGCATTGTCACTTCTGACAGTTTGGATAGAGGTTTGGAATTGCATTTTAACCATGGCAACAAAAGCTTTCATCAGAGAAAAGGCATTGCTCTTGGATACCATAAGATGAGTCCAAGTAGCTCTCGAGAAATTATCAACAATGGTAAAAAAAAAAATATACAGCCATTATATGTAGGACTATTGTAAGGATCCCAAGTATCCACATGAATTAACTGAAAAGGATGTGAAGCTTTAATAGAACTATCAGGAAAAAATAACTTGGGTTGTCTAGCCAATGGACAAATAGTGTAAGTAAAAGGTTGTTTAGAAGAAAATTGACATGGAATGTGAGGAATATCCCTCATTCTAATGAAAAGCATATGCCCCAATCTAGTACGCCATAAAATCTCTATTTTATTCATATCGGAATGGTATGTACAATGTGAAGAATCATCAACATTGGAAGTTAATGGAGAATGGTATTTACAATAAGACAGGTGGAAAAAACTTTCAGAATTAGAATGTGAAACAGAGGCAAAAACAGGAGATGTGTAGACTGCACAAGCTTGTATAGCCCATGTATCCGCTTACCAATTTTCAGTGGCCTCTTCAGTGAAGGGCCCTATAGAAGACATGAAACTTTGGTAAACAAGACATCACAATCCAACTGCGGGATAAGTTTGTAAACATATATTATGTTATAATGAAAACTAGGAATATAGAGTACATGATGGAGTGTGTATGAAAGAAAATAAAGAGAACCAGTACAAGTTACTTTGACCTTGTATCCATTTGGTAGAGTGACAAGGTAAGGTATTACTAAAGGTTTTATGTCAAAAAGAAGATCTTTATTAGAGGTCATATGGTATGTGGCTCCATAATCTATTATCCAAATGCAATCATTTACCTTAGTTAGCATGCATGCACCATATGACACTTTATCTACACAATTAGAGGGAGAGGTCATACCAGCAAAGTTGGCATAGGCCATTAGATTTGACTGAGGAGATTCTGAAATATGGCTCTATTGCAGGAATAGCAAAAGCTGAGTGCATTGATCCTTTGTTAGGCCGGGAATTAAGGATCCAAAATCACTGGAACTACTGCAACCTTCAGCAACAAAATTAGAACCTTCATAATGAACATCAGGATTCTGCACCTCAACACTTGCAGCGGTCCTCCTTGGTAGCCCCTTAGTAAATTTGAAATTGGATAGGAACCCATGAAGCTTATAATACTTTTCAATCAGATGTCCTTGTTTCTTGCCGTATTTGCAGTACATTGTGGACTTGTTCTGATCAAAGTTTACTTTTTGAAAATAGTGTCTAGCAGGATTGGGCGACTTATTAGAAAAATTAACATTGAAAGAAACTGTGTCAACAACAAGATTAGAAGGAGAGGCTTGTCTTTGCCTCTCATCCTGAAAAAGAATGCTATAAGCAGTGTCGAGGGAAGGAGAAAGTTGCATCATCAACAAGTTACTTCTGAAACCAATATAGGCCTCATTCAAGCCCATAAAGAACCGATGCAGCTTGCTCTCCTCATCTTCCTTCAGAAGATTAGACTCGGCAGCATATGTGTATGGTATCCCTTGAGAATTACGCATGAACCTAAGCTCATCCTAAAGTTTCTTAAGTTTGTTAAAGTAGAAGGCTATGTCTAGGGACCCTTGGTTAGTGGAAGCCAATTCCTTTTTTATTTCGAAAACTTTAGTACCATTAACAGTTTCATATCTTCTGTTTAGTTGAGTCCAAATGCACCCTGCAGTATCTGAGTATTGAACACTTCCGGCTATATCAAGGGACAAGGAATTAGTCAACAAGGATATCACCATATTGTTGCACATATCCCATTGCTTAAATTGGAGAGAATCTATAGTATGTTCAGTACAGGTCCCATCAATAAACCCTATTTTGTTTCTCGCACAAAAGGAAACAATCATACTGCGTCGCGAACCCCAAAAACCAATTCCTGAAAAGGGCACTGTGACAAGAGATACTCCAGGAACATCGGAGGAGAGGAGGAATAAAGGACTAGATGGGTCAGGAATGAATGCAACAGCAGAAGATGTACTAGTACCAATACTTCCCATGGCAAAAATAAAACTGTTCAAAGGAAAACCAACAATTTACACCAATAACCAGAATTAAGAGAAACAACTAAAAGCAACAAAGGAAACCACACGTGCAATACTAACAAAAGGACCGAGATTACCCAAACTTCTTCGCGATCGGAGAAAAGTAACGGCCTTGAGATGTAAACGCAACCCTAGCTGCAGTAGATAACCTCGAAACCGCCAAAAATTGAGAACTTGTAAACGTTAATTCTTCAACAAAAAAAAAATACTAGAAGCCACCAGCAATGAGTCGAACAGTAATTCTATGAGGAGATAATCTTCTGAAAGTGAGAAAATCGCACCAAAAATTCGAAATACCCACAAAGGCCAAAAATTGATTAACAACCGAAATAAGGTCAAAATCTGGATGAAATCGCCCAAGGGTAATACCGCTCGATAGAGGAAATCGAGATCCACCTAGTTCCTACCTCTGATACCATGTCAATACTATATGGATCGAAGCAATTGTGAGAAGATATCAGATTAGGGCTAGAACCCGTTGAGAGAAAAGAAAGAGGACATTTTTCAGTGAATGAATAATGAATCTCAACAGAACTATCGAGAAGCCACTATATTTATATACAAACAGGTTGTACCCGACTATGAACTGACCCAACTAACTAAACTAAAACTATCAGCTATATTATTACACGCATGGGCCATTTAATCCGGAAATTAAGATACAAATAAATACATCATAAGGTCTTCTAAGTTGGGCCATCAGTATGAAACTTAAGAGTGGATTAGGCTGGACCATTCTGAAGTCCAACAAATGCACTCTATGAAAAATTACTGTAACTTAACAAGCTCATATAAAAGTGTCAACTAAATAAGGGGCTAAAATTTGTTTGGAAAAAATAAGTATGTACATAAAAGTATCAAACTACATTTTTGTCCATTAAGTTCTTATTTTATTCTTATAAATTGCCAAATTTATATTGAACGGAGATAGTAAGATACTTCCTCAAAAGAATTTTGAAGGTGAAAAATACTCTTAGGGATAGGGGTATTCACATAAATAAAAAAATTAAATCAAATTGAAAATGAATCAAATCAGTAGTAAAGATCGATTACTTTTTGGTTTGATTTCGTTTTGGTGTTAAATTTTAGAGATCAACAAAATATGATTTGGTTTGGTTTTGGTTTTAAGCAAAAAAAAATATTCGAAAAGTTGAACCAAATCGATGTATGTATCAAAAAGTCAAACCAAATCGAAAATGAATCAAATCAATAGTATAAATCGATTACTTTTTGGTTTGATTTCGTTTTGGTGTTAAATTTTAGAGATCAACTAAATCTAGTTTGGTTTTGGTTTTAAGCAAAAAATATTCAAAAAATTGAACCAAATCGATAAAAATACCTATTTAAAAATTATTATAACACACACACGTGTGTGTAGTTTTATATAATTTTTTTAAAAAATTGCAGTAATATTAGTCGTTTACACTCTTGGCTTGCCGTCTTTATTTTGCTAAGTCCAAGAATTTATAAAATCCGAACCAATAAAAAAAACCATAAAACCGAAAAAATTGATAAACCCGAACCAATAAAAAACTAACTTACTTGGTTTAATTTGATTTTGATATTAATATTTTTTTTAGGGAAAAACAGATTTAAACCAAACCACCCCTATTTAGGGGGGGTAATAGCGGCCCCAATTTTAACTTACTGGGGTAAATTGGAATTTTAATGTTTGGCGCTATGGTTATGAATTCAGATGTTCAGTCCCCGGAATAGGTGGAGATTAGCAGATAGTAAATGACAATATTGCCCTTCATTTTTATGTTTATTTGAACAGTGGGAAACATTTGGGGTTCCCATGAGCGTTTATTTATTCCGCCGTGTATGGTAAGGCCACGGCGCCATTCTAAATAAAAGTATATTTTGTAAGTGCTACTATTAAAAAAGAAAAAGGGTTTTCTCATCCTCTATTTTTTATGCAACATAGGATTTTCGTTTTAAGCCTTTTTCTCTTCACTTCATTCTTTTGTTGTTAATTATTCGTGCACATTCAGTTATTATTGCTCTTTTTTCTAATTTGATTCGGTTTTATATTATGCTCATATCGTTTATTTACTTAATTTTTTTCTATCACATGGGGAAGGAAAAAAGAACAAGAATAACACATATTGCATGGAAGACGCATATTAATATCACTAAATTAATAGTTTTTGTGATTATTTTACGTCGATAACTACGTTCTCAAATTTATTATTCGTACTTGTCGATTCATAAAAGTACTACTAAAGTGCTACTAAATAATTGGTGTAAGTTTTTCTTACTTGACATATTGTATGCAGTAACTTTTTTTATCCAAGACCCTTTTTTAATCTATCAATTGACTTCAATTGATATAGAACCGAAAACTATAACCTGTTATCTAGCATATTATAGCTAAGGTATTAAGAGAACAAACGAAAAATTAAATTTATGACACAGAAAAATAATTAAGCAGAGGAGAAACCCAGATGCTCCGGTACGGAGGTGTGAGCAGCAGGTTACGGAGGGCACGAGGAGAGGTAGAGGGCGGCCTAAGAAGTATTGGGGAGAGGTGATCAGGCAGGATATGGCGAGGCTCCAGATTTCCGAGGACATGACACTTGATAGGAAGATGTGGAGGTCGAGTATTAGGGTTGTAGGTTAGGAAGTAGTTGAGTCGTGCCTTACTTCGTAACATGGTGGGACTAGTCATGTAGGACTTTTTTTCTAAGATAACTAGTGGGAATGTTGTGGCTTACTATTTCTCTTTTCAGTGCAGGTCCTATTTACTAGCTATCGCTTTTGCTTTACATCTTTCTTCTAGATTTCATGAGGTTCCTATTTTTCTTACGACTGTTGTGGTGATACTAATATTTACTAATATTGTCTCCTTTTACTTTGCATCTTTCTTCTGGATTTCATGGTGTTCCTATTTATCCTATGATTGTTGTTGTGATACTAATATTGTCTCCCTTTTTGCCCCTTTTGTCTTTTTATTTTTTTGAGTCGAGGCTCTTTCGGAAACAAC